CAACCATAAAAGCTATATCCACACCTTGGATCTCTGGAGGAATATCTTGTATAGTATGGAATTTTAGTGGGCCAATTGATAGTCGTTTATCATTCCAGAAAGAGGTTCCAATGCCACTGTCCACCATCAATCTTGAACCTTCATACACCCTCTACCAAACTCGAGATATCCCTATCCAAAGGTTTGAACAACCTGGCTTCTTAGGAATGCTAGGTATTAGCCCATTCCCAACTTTATAATTATTTTTCAAGACTTGAACCCACAGTTCATTCCTATGGGTGAGAATTCCATGCCCAATCTTCATCAAGCAAGCTCTATTTGTCATTCTCAGGTTCCTGATTCTCAAACCACCATTCTTTTTTGCTCTACAAACCATACTCCAAGGAGTGGCATGGATTTTCCTCTTCTCCAAATTTAAACCCCAAACAAAACCTCTCATTTTTTGCTCCACAGCCTCATAGGTGCTCACTGGAATCAAGGATGTTTGCATTGAATAAGTTGGAAGTGCAGCCAACACAACCCTATCAGCCATTGACAAAGATTTCTCCTTCCAAGCATTCAGCCTCCTATTTGTCTTGTCCAAAATATATCTAAAGGTATTTTTATTCACCCTCTTATGTAAGATGGGGATTTCAAGGTACTTACCCAAATCAGCAGTGATGGAAAAATTCAAAGCTTGACTTAGTTCACTACGTCTTGTAAGATTTACATTCTTGAAAAAGAAGCACCTCGTTTTGCTATTGCTAATTTTTTGACCAGATGAATTACAGAAATTGTTCAGACTATTGACAATCAGATTGGCTTCGTCACCATTAGCTTCTGAAAAGATTAGAAGATCATTTGCAAAAAAGAGATTGGAAATTGGGGGACCATTTGTTCCCAACTTCACAAGGATCCAGTCCTTTTGCTCCACTGCAGTATTAATCAGATGTCCTAACCTCTCAATGCACAACACGAACAAATAGGGAGATAGGGGATCTCCTTATCTAATCCCTCTTGAGGGTTTGAAGTCTTCAGTTTGAACTCTATTCCACAAAATATTCATGGTAGGAGATGTGACACACTCCATAATAAGCTCCACCAATTGCTTGGGCAGTCTTGTGACATTCAGGTTTTCCTCCAAAAACGACCAACTCACTCTATCATAGGGTTTTTCCAGGTCAACATTTATTTACATCCAACCTTTCTTTCCTTTTTTTCATCTCATGGAATGAAAAATCTCCTGGCTGATTATGATATTGTCTGAAGCATGTCTCCCTTTTACAAAGCTGCATTGGTTTGGCATAATCAAAGTGCTCATATGATCCTTCAGCCTCTCAGCAATTATCTTAGTGATCACTTTATAAATGACATAGCATAAACTTATAGGTCTAAACTAGTTAATCATCTCCAGGCTATCAACTTTAGGGATCAAACATACCAGAGTTTGGTTAATACCTGCCACTTTCCTAGGATCTTCAAAAATATCTTTGATTAATTTTATCACAGAATCACCCACTTTGTCCTATTGAGTATGAAAAAACACAGCATGTAGACCATCAGCTCCAGGAGCTTTAAAGGATGCATTTTAAATATAACTCCTTTCACTTCCTCCACCTCAGAGATATTGCCAATATTTCTCCACTTCTGATTATTTATCATTAGAAACAGACTGCCAATGCACAATCTTTGGGCACAAAGGCTTTCCTCCACATAGAGTCTTTTAAAGAATCCAGTTGCCATAGATTTAAGCTCTTCTGGATGTTGAATCCAATCTCCCTCCTCATTTTTGAGAGACAAGACCTTATTCCTTCTGTTTCGGGCAAATGTTGCTGAGAGAAAAAATCTTGAATTTCTGTCTCCAAATGCCAGCCAATTACTTCTTGATTTTTGAAACCATGTTAGTTCCTCATGTACATATATTTCATTAAGCTCTTGCCAAATAGCTCTATGCAGTCTTTCTAGGGATTCATCTGGACCTCTAGTTAGAAGATTATCCACCCTTCTAATCCTTCTTAGAATCTGAAATTTCCTCCTTTGATCTTCCTTGAACTTGAGTTGGTGCCATTCAGAAGCTTCCTTGTGGAATTCATCCTTTGCAGAACTCCAGTTAGCATTATTTCTCCAGCACTTATCCACCACTCCATTAGAGCTCTCATTTGTCAACCAGGCTGCTAAGAATCTAAACAGTTTAGTTCCTCCTTTATTCACATTTCTAGACTCATCTCTTAAAATAATAGGTCTGTTGTCTGAACCATGAAAATGAAGATGGAATATGGACCTATTAGGAAAGCCCAGAAACCATTCCTTATTAACCACCAGCTTATCAATCCGTTCTTGTAAGGCTCCTATTCTCCAAGTAAATTTGGGCCCAGAGAATCCTACACCAGACAGATCACTATCACTTAGGCAATTCTCAAATTCCTGCACGCTTCCACCACTTACTCCAGAACCACCTTGTTTTTCCCCTTCTTCCATGTAGGCATTGAAATCACCCATAACAGCCCACTTACCAACTTCATTAGCAGCTAATCTTCTTATTCCATCCCAAAGAACTATCCTCTCTGATCTCCTAAGACTAGCATAGATAAAAGTAAAAAATTTTCATCTCCAGAATCTAACCATTGCAGATTTGTATGGACAAACTGATGGTCCTCTTCTAGGATCTTTACAATAGTAGTTCTTTTATTCCAAAGGATCCAAATACTTCCCGAGAATCCCACTGCTTCTCTCACAAAATAGCTATCAAATCCAAAGCTTCTAATCACTCGCTCAGCCTTTTTTCCACTAATTCTAGTTTCCAACAAAACTAGAACTTGAATTTTATTTTAAAAACCAGATCCTTTACGAGAGAGGAAAATCCTTTTTTCCCCGCTTCTCTACAATTCCAAGTGCACACTATCATTAAACAGATAAACAGAAAAAAACAGAGACTAACCTTAGCTAAACCAACTCCTTGGTTAATTACTTGATGCCCATGGCATTGGTAATATCATCCAGAGCCATAGCTACTCTCCCCTCTTGGCATAATCCCTTTTCTTCACCACTTCCATCAGGAGGGTTCTCTTTGAGCCCAGGAGTTGTCAAGTTATTTGACTCTAACTCATTCTTGTTTGAATTATCAACCCCTGAATCACCAATTGGTACCTTAGCCTCATAGGAAGACTCCTCTTGTATACTCCCCTTATTTCTTCCCCTTTCAACCAGAATAGCTTCCCTCGTGGGCTTCTTCTGTGTAGTTCCCCTAGTGCTACCTTGAGGATAAGAGTTTATTATCTTTTTCCCCGAGCTCTTGACATCAGCTCCTTGCATTTGTTTTGCTAAGTTGCTCTCTGTGTTGTTTTTCTTCTTTTTTCCTCCTTGATTTCTTTTTTGTTGGCTTGATTCACCAGCAATCTTGCTATTGCTAGTTCCAACCCCTAGAGAAAAGGCTTTGTCTCTTGGGTTTCCCTCTTCCGACTCTCCCTCTAAAGGACCAAACCTAGATCCAAAGACATGAATCTTAGAAGGAAGACCAGTCCCCTCTGAATTAGGTTTCTCCTTACTCACAGGAATATCCTTAGTTTTCTGGTTCAGTAATGGTCTTTTATTATTCCTTCTCTGGACAGTCATCCAGCTACCAAACTCATTCACTTCTTGGCTCTTTTCTATTTCTTCCTTGGTATTAGCAACATTATGACTATGGTTCGGCTGGTGACAATGTTCCTCCTCCCCAGATACTTCTTAAGCTTTCTTCAAATTATCAGGATTCATCAAGCACTGATCCTTCCTATGCCCATATTGACCACACAGGAAGCAAATCAGGTGTAGTCCCTTATAGCCAATATACAACTGTCTCTAGCCTATTCTGAATCTTGAGAGTAGGCTTTTGCTTAAATCAATTTCAACACAAATTCGAGAAAACTTTCCCCTATCAGTAATTTCTTCAAGTTGGACGGTTAAGTAATAAATGAAAAAGACATTTGAATTTATCCGCATATGATTTTGGTATTAATGTTTCTCCAAATAATTTATTTTCTACATAGATAAAAATATATGAGGTACAGATTTTTTCTTTCTCTCTCTACTCTTAGCATTGCCTTACATGGAACTTATATATATTTATGTATGTAGGGGATAAAATTATATCTTATAACATAATAAACACTAATTCCAATGATTTTCAAGTATAAAAAGTTGCGGTGGCATACTCAACAAACGAGAGACAAAATAAAAAAAATACACGTTGTAATAAATAAAAGGCAGAAGTTACTATAAGTTTATTTTTTTTTTTTTTTTGTAAACACTATAAGTTTAATCTTTTATTTATCTTCTACACACGTTCGTAAGCTATTTTGATTCTTTGATGATTTTTTTCTGAAATTTAGTCTTTCAATTTTTTTAATTGTTACAATTAAATTCTTCTGTTAATTTTTTTGCCTAAAATATTTAAATAATAATTAAGAATTTAAATCCAATTTAACATAAGAAATTATCCAAGGAATTCAGAATCTGAAAATTCTGAAAAAAAATCATTGAAATTCATTTTTATATATAAGTAATATTAAGATTTTAAATAGATAATTATTGAAATTTACCAATTTTAGCTAAAATTTGATATTTTGATTAATAAGTTTCGAGACAAGAGAGTTTATTTGTGGAGATTTTAGATAAAAAAAAAATAAATAAGCATTTAGAGTTGTTAGGTAAAAATGACAAGAAGACTTAAGTGTAACAATTAAAAATAATTAAAAGATTAAATTTGAAAGAAAAAAAATGTTAAGGTTTCAAAATTGCATATCAAAGGATAGGAAAAGATCCATTTACAAATTAATTTTATAAATTTTTGTAAATTGCACTATGTACCCCGGAAGAACATAGTGTAACCTAATATTTTTTCAAAAATACATAATATAGTTTATAAGAGTTTATAAATAAAAAAATTTGTAAATATAACCTTCCCTGGATAAATATGAAAAAATTGCAATTAAGCCTTCTCCTATTCAGAATTTTCCTATATCAGTTTTCTCTGTATAGACAACCTTTTGTCCACATGATATGAACATTACTGACATGAGTAAGTAAAAACATTTCTAGGCACAGAAAAAGCCAAACCAGAGTGTAACTAATGAAGGGGACTTGGCTCAAGTATCGACAAAAATGCGTCAAGCAAAATACAACAATATATAAAGGATAAGATCTCCTCTCAAACAACATGTGCTCACAGTAAAAAGGTAAGCCCTAAAGAAGAAAAAAAATAAAAATAAAAATAAAAAAACAGTTTAGCTGGGAATTAAAAATATGTATGTTGATTCTACAGTCTATTGGCACGTGGTAAAAGAGGGGCCAGACACCAACCAAGAGAATAAATTGAGTGTTAAAGCCTTCCACAGCACAACAAATTTCGTTACAAATTCCGACGTTAGGTGTTGAGAATCTGCCACCTGGTCAGTCAGGTTTCGTCTTCAGTGATTTGAGATTCCATCTTTGTGAAAATTTGATGTCAGTTCCAAAGGGACAAAGGATACATGCAGTGAATTGGCATAGAGAACCAATCTCTGTAGCAAGTTGCATTTATCTTCGTCCTCGGAAAAGAATTCAATTTCATTACCATTCTGTACAAAGACATTTCGTCAAAGTAGCATACATGTAAAATATTTTTATTTTATTTTAAAATAACAGACAGAATTTAACAAGGTAAAACTAATTTCATGCACATATTTGACCCACAATTGCCTTAGCGTTGTGCACTTATGCATATTTGATATAGAAAATGCAATGAAAAGTTTATCATAGCATATTATTAATACATATTAAGAAGATGTATCCAGCTATCTATTTCATTTATATAAATTTAAGATATGGAAAGTTATATATAATTGATAACAAGTTTTGTAATCAAAGTTCACTATAATTCTAACTAGAAACAGATTTATCATAAACTTATTATGCTTCTACGCATATAGATGTAGCTCAAAACATGCCCCTATATCAGTATAAAAGCCATTTACTAGTACAGTAAGACAAGAGTCAAGAACTATAGCCCTAAAACACACTGCACATTCTTAATGAAGTACACCTTCATTCCTGCACCTTTTTAGAAAGTCTCTAAACCAAACTAGAGCAGAAGATGAAGGATCAAACAATAAAAGTTCTACAGAATAGCACATGCTATGTTCTTACATCCAGCCACAAAAAGAGGCCTTCGATCCACATGACTCTCATGTTAACAAACTAAAGAAACATGAAGTACAAAAGCTTGGGCTTTCTACAACCAATCATTCTCCATGAATCACAACTTGATTTCTGTATTCTTCTTCGAAAAGCATTTTTACCCTCATCCCCTTAACACGTACAAAATAACTATTAAGTCCCCAAATTTATTGTCAAAAAGTAATCCTTCTCCCCTGCTTTATTTTAATTAAAATAAGCATATCCAAACACTGGAAGGCCTTTTTTCAATTCTACAAAAGCAAAGTGAAAACTGAAAACAACGTAGATGTACACTTCTTGGCATAGAACATACTTAACGGAATTAAATTTTACATTGATTCAACATTACTCCTGCATGATGAAATGTTACAACTCCAATCCAGCAAACAACCAGGGAGAATAGAAAAAAGAACAAGGCATACAATTAGAAGAACTTGGGTGCACTAGGTTTATGTATTTATTTATTTCATTTTAAGTTGATATATATTTTCTAATAATTACAAAATTATTACTCCATCTTAAATTCTTCCAATTTTTTTTAGAATTTAAAAAGCAAAAATCTTAAAAACAAGCTACAAAAGACATTTTTGTAATTACAAATGAACACAAATCAATTAAAAACAAATCAAACACACCCTAAACATTTTATTATCTCATTATTAGTAACTAAAATGATAATAAAATAATAATCCAATCATAATTCACGTAAACAGAGGATTGCACATAAATTTCATAAATAGACAAACCACAAAAAGAGGGAAAATGATTGGCAAAAACCAATCCACAAAAATAGTAACAACATACCATCCACTCGAACTAGGTCGATTCCCACGACCCATGATTCCAATATCCGACCCGCCAACCCTCCTCATCCTCTCATACACACCACCCGACTTGGGTCGCCGGTCTTCCCTGGACCGACCCATTTCCGGCCCAGGCCCATCCTCTCTCCGAACGAACCCGGGCCGAAGGTGCGGTGGCACGAACTTGTCCGGTTTCGGAGGCTGCGGAGAAGGCAAGTCCTTGTCTTTATCATGGTTCAGGACAGGGGACGAAGAAAAAGAAGACCCGGTTCCGGTTCGACCCAAGGGACGAAGCGAGATCGCGTCGGATCCCGGTTCGGACCGGGTTTGATCCGGGACCTGCTGGATCGGGTGTTGGGGTGGTGGAGGCGTAACGGGTTTGGGAGTGGGTCGGGTTAGAACGAGAATACGGCCATGAGGTTTGTTGGGTGCAGATACTGAAGAATATGATGCGGAAGAGTAAGATTGTGAAGGAGAAAGAGAAGGGTTCTTTAATTTGTTTGTGCCGTTGATGTTACTGTTGCTTTTGCTGCTTACGGTTTTCTCGTAGACATGATTGAAGTTAATAGAGGTGTACTTGTTGTTTTTTGCCATCCACCACGTTCCAGAGAGATAGAGAGAAAGAGAAAGAGAGAGCTTCGGCAAGATGAATAAAAAAAACAGAGGAATGAATTGTAGGAATGACGATTGTGATTTGTGATTTCCTTCGTGAAAATGAATTAACGAAATATGGGCCTTCCTCATGTATTGGGCTTATTAAACGTGAGTCCAAAAGTCCAATTATTGGGCCCAACTTTTTTCATGTAAAATTTATTGAAAGGACTTTTAAATTTATTGGCGACCATATAATTCGAATTAACTGTTCAGGTACTGAAATCTGAATTGATGTAGAATATTAACAATGTTTGCATTGGAAAAAAAATGTAAGTGATGGATATGGCCCCTATCATATGGGCTAAAGTTACATCAATAGTTTAATCAGAGTGTATCACTGTATTTCTGACAATGATACTCAATGATAACAGCATAAATGATCAAATAGATTATTCAAGTGGTTAATGTTATCCCACATGTTATGTTTACATATGCCAGGCTGACATCCCACCATTTTACAACTGTTGTTTGTCCATATACTCTCAACTTGTACATAGATATAATGTATTTTTCTTCAACGACGCTCTGGCTTAATCATATTATATAATCAAGAATTAATTAGATCGTTTAGACAAACATCGATATCTACCTTGAAAAGATAGATGAACCTCTGTGTTTGTATATATAAAAGAAAATAACGATATATGCCACCAACTACTACATATTTTATTCGTGTGACCAGGTATCACCTAATTACCTACCTACACACCAAAATAAAGTATACCGTTGGATGGGGGGAAAAGAGACAAGTAACGGAAACTTATGTTAATGTAAATATTAGGTTTGACTTGATCTCTGCTTGCCTCAGAGAGTAGCACAATGTTTTCCTATCGTTGCAACCTATATCAAATTTCATTTTCTTATTGTAAAATTTGATATTAACTCATTTCATTTTCATTGTTTTTTTTTTTTCTTTCGTAAGAAGAAGACGAGAAGATTCTTCTGTTGTCTCCTTCATCTTAATTTTTCTCCATTTCCAATTACAGTCATGACTTTTTGTGCTATTTTCTAGTTCATTTGTCAACTGAGGGAATTGATATTTGCAAGCATTGAGCCAGCTCATGCCAACGTTAACATCTCAACCTAACTTAATCCTTCCCAAATAAAAACCCTCCTTCACTTCTCTCTAACACCACCTCAGCACTCAACAACATGGCTTCAACACCTCTTGCACTCGTTCTTCTCACTCTCACAACCTTCCTCTTCCACCTCACTCCTCAAATCCAAGCCCAAAAAGCCACAGCCCCTGCACCAGCTCCCTCCGGCCCCGTCAACCTCACCGCAATCCTCGAAAAAGGTGGCCAATACACCACCTTAATCCGCCTCCTAAAGGACACACAACAAATCACCCAAATCCAAAGCCAACTCAACTCAACTTCAGAGGGTTTCACAGTCTTCGCTCCCACCGACAATGCCTTTCAGAATCTCAAATCTGGTGCCATAAACGACCTCACAGACGAGCAGAAAGTGCAGCTTATTCTATACCATGTAACACCTAAGTATTACTCTCTGTCTGATCTATTAACAGTGAGCAACCCTGTGAGGACACAAGCTTCTGGAAGTGAAGGGTCTTGGGGACTCAACTTCACTGGCCAAGGAAACAACCAAGTGAATGTTTCAACTGGTGTGGTTGAGACCTCAATCAACAACGCATTGAGGCAACAGTTTCCTTTGGCTGTTTATCAAGTGGACAAGGTTTTGTTGCCATTGGAACTTTTTGGAGCTAAGTCTCCAGGATCAGCTCCATCTCCTAAGACACCCAAAACTCCCTCTGAAATCCCAAGCGTTGTTAAGGGTAGTGGAGCTCCATCGCCTTCAGCTAATGGTGCAGCTGAGAGGAATGTGGCTTGGGGTTTGGTTGTTGGGCTTGGGTTGATTTGCATGGAAGCGCTCTCTTAGATGAGAAACTTGTGTTTCATGTCTATTCATCTTTTTCTTTTTTTTGTATCTCCTTTCTCTCACTTTATTTGTTCCTCCTTAATTATCTTTTTTTCTACCGGCAAAAGGAATTGTGTTGGGTTTGATTACATGTACCTTATTCTTTGTCCCTTTTTTTAATCAATGAGTTTGTTTATACCAAAAAAATCAACACGAACTCTCTCTTTTTATTCCTCTCTCTCTTTCATTCTCTTCCGAAAAATTGATATAAATGTGTTAGGCGGGGGTCCACGAGGAACTCGTAACGGGATACTATCACCAATAAACTAAGGCTATATCATCATATCAAGTGGATACGACACCATATCATAATCCAAAACCTTAAGACACTAGGTTCATTCACTTATATCCACTTCACATAGCTCATTACTAATCAATGTGAGACTCATCACACTTGAATATCCCAATAATATCCTCCTCAAGTTCCAAAATTGATATGCTTTCCTCGACCGAGTACTCAAGCCCAAATACTCAACCTGCCTCCTAGCGACCATCTGGCTAGTTTGAGCTCAACCCGACTCTGATACCACTATCGGGCGGATCCAGAGAAAGGAGCCCGTGGCGGGGGACCATTATCAATGGGCTAAGGCTATATCATCATATCAAGTGGGTTCGATACCATATCACAACTCAAAAACTTAAGGCATTAGATTCATGGGTCCATCCACTTATATCCACTTCACTTACCCCATTACTAACTAATGTGAGACTGATCACACTTGAATATCCCAACAAAATGCATACTCGCCTATTGTCTTTTATCTTCTTTGTTTTCCTAAACTATAGTTTTCATTGAATATAAAAGGGTTTGTTTTTCTGCATTCACTGTAAATAAATTATCTACATTGAACCCAAAATGACGTCATTTTGGGGTGAAAATTAAGGTATTTTTGTAATTATAATTTATTTCAGGGTTATAATAGTCTTTCTCGTTATACTTTTTTAATCTTTCAACTCAAACAACATTATTTTGGGGAGTGAATGTAGATAACTTATCTACATTCATTGTAGAAACATTAAAGCCAATATAAAATGATATAATAATTAAATTGTTCTTTTTATAAAGGGCGTTTGGTATAGGAGAATTTTTTTTATTCCTGAGAATCACAATTCTCAATAATATGCTGGCAAAGTGAATTTTCCAGAAATGTTATTAAAAAGTTGTTTGGTGTAACACCCTGTATATATTCGGAAATGTTATCATACTATCGTATTAAGCTGCGCTTAATTAAAAATGCGGAATATCTTTTTCTTTTCAATTATAAAGTCATTATCATTACCAACTTGCTTATTAATCAATTAATAAAACATCGCCTGTATGCAATTGCAATAAAACAGCTAACTGAAATACCTCATTAATTAATACAACAATAAAGTATGGCTCTAGTCACGGAACTACAACACGTAGACCGGACCAACTATTAGTTTATACAACTCAACTCAAAAGTACTAACAACATAGTGGCATGGACAACTCCCATGCTCACCCAAATAAGGCAACAAGGCCCAACATAGTCTCAACTCAACAGCAACATAATAATAATGCGGAAAACATAAACAGCATCCAGTCCAGTCATGCTAGTAAATAAGCAGTAAAATCATCAACTAAGCTCTGGCCTCCTGCCACCAGAGGCATCAGTCACCATACTACCTGAACCTGAAATAAGCATTCCCCAAACGTGGGGTGAGATCTCTAAACAAGAAATCTCAGTAAGACAAGGGGTCCTCAAGGGTCTTCCACCCCAAGCTCACTTACATGTGCAATATAAGTTTAAAAGCAGTTCATCAATACCATTTCTGAAACAGTGTAATGCAGCAGATAATCATGTTATGTGTGTCAATTCTATTCTACTGGCCAGAGAAATGCAGGAATAAGTATACGTCTATTACCCACAATTAGTGCAAGATACTACTTGCATCCACCCCGGATCACCGTCTTGTATGACGCCACATACTCAGGCTTACCGTCAAGATGGAACAACACATGCATATTAAAAGCTATTAACACATAAAGCTCAACAGCATTTCATATATCAAAGCATGTAACACAGCATGCATATAACCATACCCCCATGGGACATGGTGGAACCACAACATGGCTAAACCGAGGACACGAAAGCTTACCTTGCAAGCTAACACCCAAAGACAAGAGTCCACAGCTCAAAGTCCAAACACAGCAGATTCACAATCTGTTATGGACCAATAATATATCAACAAACATGCACCGCAAGCATACAATATTAAGACAACGCCCTTCCATTACGTTTTATGTCTTAAGGCTTCACACAAGCCATAAGCCCTTAATCATTTGATTCTGACTTACATTAATTAATTACAGAAGTTCAACTTCCTCACACTAAGGTCCACAAACCGATAGATCAGTTCTGGATGAACAGTACGCTACTGTTTCTCGCAAACCCAGAATATCCGGATATTCCTCGGGGACATATCCGGATATCACTCTGGCAATATCCGGATATCCAGATTCCCATATCCGGATATCAATATCCGGATATCAATATCCGGATATCCATATCCGGATATCAATATCCGGATATCCATATCCGGATATCCATATCCGGATATTCCACGTCAAATATCCGGATATTTCGCGACAGAATGCAGTTTCTGCATTTCGCGAAGATATCCCTCCAAGGTTCCATTTTTAACACTTCCAGAAGCTTAAACATGCATCTTAAGGTTCATTTATGTTCATATGACAATTGGTTACTTGTTTAACTCATTAAACATACCAAGACATCATTTTAACCCATTAAACTCAAGATCAAAGGTAGAACCACTTACTCAAGGTTCAAAACAGAAAAGCAAAGGCTCATGGAGCTCTCCAAACAGCCCCAACAATGCAGACCAAGAAGGTGCACGAAAATGCCACACCAGAGGTTGATTCTTGCACCAAAAGATCACACCTTGAAGCTCAAGAAGCCAACTCCAAGGTTCCCACAACCAAAACCACTAACTCAGCCCCTCACACCTCACAAGGCAGTGACAACACTCAGAACAAAAGCACTCTCCCCACGCACCCTACACTCCACTAAGTGTTTGATGAAGAAACCAAGAAGAAAGATGACTTCTTGGCTCTCAAGGCGAAGAGGAAGGGATGAACAGAAAAGGAGGAGGCACTCAGCAGCTGAGCATTCACGTAGGAAGCTAATATGGCCCAGGGTTTTGTGCATAAGTTGCATTTATAGTCACTTAAGCCTTAAACACACAGTATTAACTTTAATTGCTACGCTTAACATTTTAATCCCAAACTTTGGATTCTTAACCTACTCAATTTTACAAGATTTATCATATTTTTCTTATAATTTTCGGAGCATCTTTCCGGTACGCGCTTTTCAAAGCCAGTACCGGTTTCTGGCACCAGTTCTCATTATTTTGACTTGAAACTCGTTTTACAAGTCTTACATATTATTCTAGTAATTATCATGCACTTATTATAATTTTCCGGGATACTTTTTCGGTACGCATTTATACCGACTAGCAGAACCGGTATCTGCACTTCTCTTCCGAAAAGCGACTTTCAACATTCTTACTCACTTACTATAATTATTAGAGCCTCATAATAATTATTAAGGTCAATTAGGGAATCATTTCCTAATTTCACATAATTAATTAATTAATTTTCTTAATTAACAGTGCGGGTTCTTACATTTGGTATGCCAAAATATTCCTAGGAATATTGGCTTAAGTTGTTTCCTGAGTCTATATTTGGTTGATTGTCAATAATTACTGGAAATGTGGGCTGATTTTACAAAATTATCAGTTATAATTCTTAATTGATCCATCATTTTCATTCAAAACTTTTGCAATTAACATTCAACCATTCTTGTTGAGGAGTACAAAGATTCCTTATTCTCAGAAGCATCAAACTTGTTCTGTGCAATTGAATTTGCACTTTCAGTTTTGCCATTCTTGGCTCTCTAAGCTTGTTTACGTTGGTTCTGGTTCTTCTTGCCTTCACCGGAATGTAAAATCAATCATCACCACGAACACCCCAAACTGCAGTGCAATTCCTAGAATTTTCCAATCTTTTTAACAACTATCTTCTCCAATTCATTTGGTCACCGAGAAAACGGAGGAAAGTATTATATTGTAATGAACAAGACCCAAAATTTCTCACTTTTTTTTCTCCTCATATTTGATTTTCCCAAAACAAAGAAACCCGGAAAAATTATTATTAGTGGGTTTGAGTTATTGGAAAAGGTTTTGACACTCAATAAGGAGAAACCAAAACTGGAACACTCTAATTTTCTCAGGAACAAAAAAAGAAAAGAAAAGGAAAACATTGTGTACCAAATCAGAATCGACAACGGAAGATAATAAAGAAAAGGGATGATCATGAAAGGAAAGATTGGAATGGTTTAAGGCGAGACAAGAACCGTGAAATTGAAGGAAGGAAAAGGACAGGTTAATTTCGTCCGAAAAAGTTTTACAAATATTCCCACGAGGGAACCCAAAAATACCAATGCCAAAAGCACTCTGTTGGGCCGAGACTAACACCCACCCGATGATATTTTTGCATGGGATTTTGCTTCACAAATTGAAATTCCGAGAATCTGATTTTTCTAGGAAAATTTTCACAATCCTTATACCAAACGTGGGTAAATAGATTCTCAATCTCAGTTTTCCAGGATTTTAAAAATTTTCTCTCTACCAAATACCCCTGTTATGGACCTGGCAAAGACTCACATTCTAGAAGACCCAAAACGGCTAAGAGGGAATTAAGGAAATATTCCTTAATTATACTAATCCTACTACGGCAGTAATTGATCAACAATTAGACCCTCAATACTCCACTCTTGCCAGATAACCCATCTATAAATAAGGGGTTAAGCTAATAAGGTACACACATTCTAAACCATCTCTTTCTTAGCTGTCACTGTGCACACACTCCACGTCTTGACTATGTCGATTATTATTGTGCACAGTGATCTGCTATCA